CACACACACACCTGGCTGGGACCCCTTCCCTTTGCCCTTTCAGGGTCTGAAGGACTTAAATCAGGGTGGGGACTCCCATTCCCATCTGGACCAGTGTCAAACCTGGCCTGGTCCCCAATGCCTTCGACTAAGACTCCCAAGGAGTGGCCTGCCCTGCTGGAGAAGGACTGCCTTGCTGGACCATCCCATGGCCCTCCCCGCTGACCCCCAAACTCACACCAGTGCTTCAGAGCCCTGGCCCAGGGATGGGGGAGAGGGGAGCAGGAAGCTGGGGGAGGCCTGGGAGGGGGGGGCGCACAGAAGGGCAGTCAGGCTTGGGGCAAGGTGGTGTTAGGGGGAAGGGAGTCGGGGACTGATAGGAAGGAAGTCAAGGGTCCAGGGATGGTGGTGGGGGAGTGTCTGGGGAAGGCAGGGAGGGAGATGGCTCAGATTAGTAAATGCCGACTGTTCCCCCACAAATCAAAGTCCAGACACAAAAATGGCAGGTTCGTTAGTAAAAGCAGGAACCGGGGACTTGCTCCCCTTGTCCCCCTCCACCCCAGGGGCTTGGTGATGCCCCTGCCCCCCCAACCCCTCCGCGCAGCGTCTGGAAAGGGCGGGGCCTGCAGGAAGGGGAGGGGACATGCGACACAGTGCAGCCAGGCAGCCTGACCTTGCGGGTTAGAGGGGCAGGGGCAGGCCCAGCGGGGGTCTAGGAAGCGGAGCAGGGAGAGGTCAGCAGAGGAGGCAGGGGGAGCAGAGATGGAGGTCCAGCGCAGCGGGGGGCCTGGGGAGGAGCTTCCTTCCAACGGAGGGCGGAGAAAAGGAGCCCCCCCGCCCACTAGGACAGGGTGAGAGGAAGGAAGGGATACTAGAAATGTCCTTCCCCCAGAGAGTGACCACAAGCTCCCTGCCAGGCACGCACGCACACACATACAAGCACGCACGCACACATGCGCGCGCGCGCACACCAGGGGACCATGTACCGCCGGACACCCGCCTTCCCAAGTGGGACGGCGCCCCGACCCAGACACAGCTGACGCTGCACCCAACGGTCCGCCACCAGACGTGAGTGGTAGTGCAGCAAATAGGAGCTGAGACCCCAGAGCCCACTGCCCAGGGGTGTGAGGAGGGGCAGCCTGCACGGGGGAGCTGGGCGGGGGTGCTTCATGGCCCCTCTCCGCCTCCTTTGGCAATGAAGCCAGGTCCTGGCTGCTTGGGGGCAGGTGGGCTCTGCTCTAGGGAGCTGGGTGTGTCCGGGTGCTCAGGATGGCCTTGACAGTGAAATCATGGGGACATCTAGGGACAGCTTTTTTCTGTGAGCGTCCACTGCTGTGGTCAATTCTCCCAGGGATCCAGGGGGGTGGTGAGCAGTAAGCTGGGGGGTGGGGGCTGTCTGGTAGTGGGGAAGGAAGAGGGTGGAGGAGGGGGAGAGGCGAGGAGGCCTGCTAGGTGTAGCCTTTAGCCATCTGCTTGGCGCATAAGAAAGGCACACAGACGAACTTCCCAGGAGGGACAGCCCTACAGGTGTATCTTCAGCACTGGGTCTGGTCCAGCCTGGGGACAGAGGATGGAGCCCTGGTGGTGCATGGTTAAAGTGCTTTGCTGCTACCCCAAGGTCTATGGCTCTAACCCGCCTGCCGCCTCGTGGGGAGACGGCGCCTGGGAACCCTTCTGGCAGTTGTCCGTCCTCCAAGTCGCTGCGAATCAGGACCGAGCCGGCAGCCCAGGGTTCCGCTGGGTTTAGGGTCTGACGGAACAGGCTCCAGGTCGGACACCCCGGCGGCTTCTCTCTAGCCCTCGGCATCTTCCAGAACCATCTGCCCTGCCCTCGCTCTGATTGCCCCTGTCCCACGGTGGCACCACACTGGCTGTTCCCAAGGAGCCCGGTGGGGGGAGGGGGGGTGTTCCGGGTCCACAGTTGGAACTCACCAGTCAGTCGGAAGGAGAAAAACGAGGCCGTCTGGGCCCATGAAGACAGGGTGCTCTACTTCTGTAAATCATCCCCGTCTCGGAAACCCTAAGGAGCAGCTCTCTACTCGGTCCAATCTCACTCAACTCCAATGGCCACTGAGGCCTCAGCGACCCTACAGGACAGGGCAGAACTGCCCCTATGAGTTTCCAAGACGATGGCTGTTTACGGAAGTAGAACGCCCGGTCTGGCTCCTGCGGAGTGGCTGGTGGTTTTGAACTGCTGACCTTGAGGAGTGCAGCCCAGTGCATAACCAGGACACCACCAGGGCTCCTCTAGGCCTCTCTGAGTCGAGATCAACTCAGTGAGGGGTCTGTGGGTCAGTCCCGCTTCTGGCAGGCTTGCCACGGGTATCGGACGAGAGTGGTGGCCTGAGCAGGCTCCTGGGGACAGGTCTCAGATGGGCCCCTTGCTCCGGACCTCTGTTTCCCCATCTTTTGCTGAGTGTCAGCCTGCTGCCAACAGTCCAGACATTCAAGAAGCGATAGCCACAACGTGACAGTTGGGTGGGGAGCCCTGGTGGCATCGTGGGTCATGAGTTGGTCTGCTCACCCCAAGGACAGAGGTTCGAATCCACCAGCCGCTCCATGGGAGAAAAGTGAGGCTTCGTTCTCTCGTACAGATGTACAGCTTCAGAAACCCACAGGGGCAGTTCTACTACAGAATCGACCCAGTGGCCCTGAGTTTGGTTTTGAGTTTGGAAATTGACTAGAAGGCCCAACTTCCATCTACCTGGTCCCGTCTAATCCAAACCTCTCCAAGGGTCAGCCTCTTGGGTCTACCATAACCCCACCTCCACCTGCTCGAGTTTCAAGGAGAAATGGTCACAGAGACCCCAGAAGTGATTTCATAAAACTCAAGACCACGTGGAAGGACCCCATCTCAGGGATGTCTGGGAACGGGCCATGTCTCTCGGCGTGCCCTCTGGGCCTCCAAGAGCTGACCTCTGAGCAAGGACCTGTTAAGGCTGCAGGGAGCCACCCCGGCCACCGAGAGCCCCTGATCTCATTGTCAAGCTGTGCTCGCTCCCGCAGGACAGCATGGACTTTGGGGACTTGGGGCATCTCCTCCAGATCTTCCCTCCCCAGGGCTGAACCCGTCGAACTGAACTGTGTCACTCTGTGCCGCCCCCTCTCACCCCAGTCCGGGTCCAGACGCATTCTGGGCTACCAGTGCGACATTGTAGGGGCTTGTTCCTACAAAGGGTGGGGATGAGGGGCTCCTGGGGGCCAGAGAGGTCATCCTCTCCAGGGCCGGTCGGCTCGGGGAAAGGAAGGCACCCCCTTGTTTAAGTACACGGTCCTGCATGGCAAACAGGGCAGGTGACCAGTGTTCCAGGTGCCCACCTAACCCTCGCTACGGAAGACAGAGGCTGCCGCCGCCAGTCTCTATCGGCACTTGCTCCCGGACAGCCCATCAGGAGCTGTGTCGTCAATCCGTCTGACAGACGAGGAGATGAAACTTCCAGCTGATTCCTGGCTGACCTGGGACCAGAAAGTCAGTCTCCAGGCGCCTGATTCTAAGGCTCTGTTAGGACCACCTGGGGTGGGGGCTTGGCATGTACCACGTTGATTTACTCTGCCTCCCTTCTGCCCCCGAAGAATGCCAAATGCCTGGCCTGACCCCAGTGGGCCTGAGAACACCTAGGGGCTGCTGAGAACACTGCCCATAGAGGGAGGAGCAGCTCCCTGTAGACACGGTGAGGTGCAAGGAGGGGCTTGGGGTGCTAGGATGGCTTTGGTTCCGGACATTGGCTCAAGGACAGGCTTGAAATGAGTGACAGGGGGCCTGGCCTCAGAATGGGGACAGAGGCGCTGAGAGCAGTGGGGGGCCCCACCTACCGTGCTTCCCTCCTGGCCAGCCAGCAACCAGCCTCAGAGACCCGGAGGCCAGGCAGGTGGGTGGCAGCTGGCCCTAGGAGCAAACGCGTCCATCCGCAGGGTCCCCCGCCCGGTGCTCAGTCACTTGTTTTATTAATAGGCGATGACTAACTGCTGCTGCCTGCCTGCATGGCAGCCAGGATGGGGAAACCCCAGGGGAGGGCCCTGCGGGTTGCAGGCACACACTCCCTGGGCACCCGCACCTCCCCTGCCCCCTTTACAGGGGGCCTCAGGGCCAGCCCCCAAATCCTCCCTGTCCCGCCCCCACTCCCCAGGCGCCCCCCCCTCCTCAGGACCACCTTCTCAGCCCCTCCCCTGCCCCCTTCCTGGCCCCCGCCACTCACCAGAACCCCCAGACCTCAGTGGCAG